TGTGGGACCTCTCTCGGAGAAAACGGGCGAAGCAACTGTATTGGGTTGCTGCCAGAGAAATCCATCCTCGTAGGTGCATCGGGTTGGGGTTTTGCTCTTTTGACAACGTCCGCATACGGGATATTCACGGTCGCAACGGAGTTTTCTGCTGCGGCACTGCATACACGCCATTGTCCGTCGGCGTCGCTTGCGCACTCGATGCTGTTGCTGTTGCTGCTGTTGTTGTTGTTGTTGTTGTTGTTGCTGCTGCTGCTGTTGTTCTGGTTGAGAATTTGGAGCCGAAGCTGCCAATTTCAACTGAACGTCAGCCATCATTGGAGAGAAGAGGGGGTGGATGCGCAGTGGTAAAAGGATGAGAGGGAAGTGAGAAACGGAGGTAGGTATGCGCACCACCGCCAAAATGTATTGGGGGCAGATGGGGGGGTCCAGGGTGGATGGATGGGTGGAGGACCGCAGGCAGAGCGAGTGAGATTGGTGGATGGTGGCTTACGTGTTTGGCACTGCCGGCCATATCCACCAAATGGGGCAACCTGACCCGGTGGGCCTGGTTTCACACCTTTCCAAGAACAAGAACAATCGCCGATGTGTAGGCAGAGACAATTCTTAGTTTTCTTGCTCCGTACAGTTTCTCATTCACTATCTGTTGCACATACTGCACAATCGATTGTCTCTCCCGAGTCGTCTTCTTTCACTTCCACAGAAGAACCGTTGGCAGTTTCGCCGAGTAGCCAGTAGGGAACGATAACTCAGTAAAAAAGGCGCAGCCCGCCATTTTCCTCCGGCTTGGTTTTACCTCGCACGCACATAACTTCGCTTAAACCTACGGTCGGCTCTTCCGTGATCGTTGATTGATTGTTTCAGTCGCATTCCCTCAGACATTCGCCAGAACATTCGCAGCAATTTAACCAGACTGGGGGATGAACAACCAGGATTTGCCTAATGGGGTTTAGTGATGAGAAGGATTGAAGGGTCCAGAGCTGCAGGCAGGCAAGCAATTGGAAACACGGGCCAGAGTCCCACTGCCACGAAGAGGGGCGAGGGGCTGGTGCAATTGAATGCATTGCATTGTCAACGGGTCTAATCTTTGGGTGCTCAGCATTTATGGTTCTCGGCTCAATTGAGTGCGATAGAGTTATGGAGCCAGAGACTCGAAATTAACCAGTGGCCGCACTGCCAATAACTAAGCAACGCTTTGCTTCAAGCGTCTGCAGCCAGTCAAGTGAGTCAACTATAGTTCGCCGGAGGAGCTAAGTTACCGTGCTGTACTGTGTATGTGGTCCACGACTCAAAACTAACACATTATGGCAATGACAGTGGACGTGTAGCTGCAGCCTACCGTTTGACAGGTCGCCGTCATTGTCTCCGAGACATACCTTACTCGAAGTTAAATTCCACGCTTCGACAGAACAGAGCCCTGCGCCCTCTGAGAGCAATCATGGTTGCCTATTTCGATTAACTCCCTCGGGGATAAGCCTCGGAGATGATACTTTGCGATAGTCCGTCTCCGAGCTCAACGGAGTATATAGGAAAAGCTAGAATTCAATCCACCATGAAAGATGGCTGTCAGATTGATTTTATCTTCTTATCTCGTGTCCGAGCAGCTCAATCGCTCATCGTACGATATACCCTGAAGATAAGTGTGTCGCAAACAAACCCAGCTACGATGCTCCGGTCCCTTCTATCGCGCGGCGGCCTGATCCGCAACGACGACTACATCTTCCCCAGCGTGGATCCCACACAAGACGGGCCCGACTGCAAGCAAGACTGTGCCGACTGCACGGTACAATTCCCGTCGAAGGTGAAGGTCGAGACCTCCCGGCCGCTGTACGGACACATCAAAGAATTCCACACCCACGTCTTAGTTGCGACAGGGAAGTCGGACTGGACCGAACATGTCGAGAACGAGAAGGGATCACTCATGGAGGCATTTGACGCTTCCTCCAACCAGTCAAAACACGGAGTATGTTCAAATCCGGTGTTCAGCATGAGCCAGGTCCGCTGAGTGCGAATAAATGATCGCTGACGGGGAGAAACCTAGCGCATGATGGTCTCAGCCTCGAATCTCCAAGCCCACCACAACGAGGAAGAAGACGACAAGGACAACAACAACAACGGGACGACAATCCTCCTCCTCCCCTCCTTCACCTTCCTCGACTCCGTGCACAAAGCCGACGTACGCGAGGTCGTAGACCGATACATCGACGCCCCGCTCTCCAACAAAGGCCTCGTGGCCCACGATCCCGCATCGCGACTGGCCCCGCGACCATGCCAGTACGACTACGTGGTGCTGCTCTGCTCCCACCGACGGCGCGACGCGCGCTGCGGGATCACCGCTCCGCTGATCAAGAAGGAGCTGGAGCGACACCTGCGGCCGCTGGGGCTGTATCGCGACGCGACCGACGAGCGGCCCGGCGGCGTGGGCATCTTCTTCGTCTCGCATGTCGGCGGCCACAAGTTCTCGGCGAATGTGCTGGTCTACCGGAAGGCGCAGGAGCAGATGATCTGGCTGGCCCGGATCCGCCCGGAGCACTGCGAGGGCATCGTCAAGTACACGCTTCTGCAGGGGAAGGTGGTGCATCCTGACTCCCAGTTACGGGGTGGGTTCGATCGATGTCGTGGGTTGACGAGTTGGTGATAGATATTTTTCTCAGTGATCATGATTAAATCTGTATACTCAGCTAATACCCAATAAATTCATAAAAATAATTGAATCTCAGGTACGGTACAGTAAAACGAAATAGACTTCGATCCATAAACATTTACGGAGTACTACGAGGAAGTGAAAGCCGGGGACCGAGACACGCTACGTCAGCCCGCCCTGCACAAAACCCGCGTTAATTGATTTTCGCGGACGCGACGGGTTCGGGACCAACAGCCGGACCACCACCACCACCACCACCACCACCACGCCTTCGCAATCCCTTCTCCTCAGACATAAACCTTGACAGCCACTTCATCCTCCTAGAACACGGCACTATAGATCCTCAACATGCAATAATGGCCACCACCATACCACCATCCTCAGCAACCCCCTCCTCCACCACCCTCCGCGCGGAGCTCAAAGAATGGGAACGAGCATTCGCCGACGCCAACGGAGGCAGAAAAGCCGATCGAAGTGATATCAAGAAGGTACCTGAAATTGGTAAGCGCTTATCTCCCTTCCCCCTCCTAGAACAATAAAATCTTGCCCCTCAGCTAACACCCACCCCTTTTTGCATACAGCCGCCAAATACAAAGAATACTCCCGCCTCAAAGCCCTCGAAACATCATCCTCAACCAGCATTCCCAGAACAACAGAGGAAAACGGTCGACACCACAAAAGGAAACGGAAACACACCTCCCCGCATGGGTCTTCGGATAACCTCACCACCCCACGGAAGAAGACAGACAAAAGCGGGACCGGGGCCGGGGCCGGGGCCTTTGAGACGCCATCCAGAAAATCGACCTCTCATCCGGCGGAGGTCGATCCGTACGACTCGCCGTCAGTGTTGCGGCGGCTGTTCAGCCCGAGCACACACCTGTCGCCGCTGAAGGCGGCGATCGGGCCGACGCCGCAGCGCGATGGCAAGGCGCTGGGGCTTTTTGATCTGCTGTCGGAGTCCGGTGGGAGTACGGCGACGCCGTCGGCGACGAGGATTGCTGGGTTGAAGGAGGCGAGTGTGCGGACGCCGTCGAGGCGGAAGAAATCTCTGAAACAGAAGAGGGAGACGATGGATACGATTGCGGAGGAAGGGGAGGAAGCGGAAAATGATGGTGAGAGTGAAGATGATGATGACAGTTCCAGGCTGGGGAGGACGCCGACTTCGTCCGGGAAGAAGTGGATGCTGTCGACGCTGTTTTCTACTCCGACTACCTGGCGGTATGCGACGATGATGGATGATGGGTCTAATAAAGGGACTGTTGCTGCTGCTGCTGCGGAAGGGACGGCGGCGGCGGCGGCAGAGGGGGCTTCAATAGCGGCAGTGGGAGAGCCGAACGAACCCGGGTCGGAGACTCCCTCGTTCCTGCGGCGGTCGACGTCGGGACGGTACGATACCTCAAACATCACGGGGGGATTGAGTCCGATGGCCACGCGGAAACGACCCCAGTTCGTCGGGAAGGGGCTCTCGGCTTTGGTGAAGGGCTTGCGGGACATGGAAGAGGAGCAGTTGGAGGACGATATGGATGTTCTCCGAGAAATCGAGGCCGAGCAGGCGGCTATGATGGACGCGGCGCAGGTGGCCGATAGCCAGGCCGCGGCTGAGAACGAGGGCGCTCCCGTCTGGAAGAAGAAGGGCCAGAAGCGGACTACCCGCAAGGTGCGCATGAAGCCGGTGGTTTCAACGTCGAGGCAAGCTGCGCCCGAGCTGCCGTCTTTTTCGGATGAAGAGGAGGAGGAAGACGGAGAGAGGGATAATGGCCCTGATGGGAGGGTCACCGCCGTCCGCGAAACTCAGCAGCTCGTAGCCCCCGGCCCTCTGGACCAGAGCCACCTCGAGGTTCCTGACTTCGACGACCTCGATTCGTTACACACCATGTCGGAACCGGACCTGTCCGACTTCGACCCTGACTACGACGAAGGACCCCAACCTCGAGAGAAGGGCAAGAGCTTCTCCGAAAAGATGAAGGAGGCTATTGCGGCTGGCAAACCGCCAGCGACAGAGACTCCGGAAAAACCACCTGCACGACCTCAGGCGCAGGCAAAGGACCCCGAGCCCAAACAGCCGCGTGCACGCAAGGTCAATCCGGAAGCGCACGCCAACTACCGGTCGCTCAAAATCCGAAACAAGAACTTCAAGGGACGAGGCGGCGGGCGCTTCGGCAGGCGACGTTGAATACCAGAGCCTAAACATCACGAGCCATGAAACCTACTAGCGTATTCTTCTTGTTTGCATCATCCAAGATACCAGTCTTATCATTTATACATTTGTCTATAGCATGCATCAATCATTCATAGGATATGCAAGATAATTCCTCGCTGCGAACAGCGCAGCAAGACATACAATATAGCCTTCTCTATCTTAGTCTGGTATATAACGCTCCCGAGCGTACTGTACCCTCTTGGCTTGTTCCTCCTGGCTTTCGCGCTGATACGGCTGCCTCCGTGAATGCGCCGGCTTCGCCACTCGCCCCCTCCCTCTTCCTCTTCCTCTCCCACCTCCCCGGTAATGATGTGAAGTCCCACCCCGATAAACCGGCGGCGACGCCGAGGAGCCCTCAGCCCGCGCCTGCGCAGACGAAGCTCCCTCCCGTCGCGACACATCCTCATACTGCACATGCCGATCCCAATCCTCCAGCGAGGTATACGGACTCCGCAGCCAAGCCTGCAGCTCATGCAGAAACAACCGCGCATTCTCCCTTCCTAAGAAATCCCGGAGAAGTTCCTCCGCCTGACCCGCGCTGCCCTTGATATCGACCGTGCGGAGTATCGCGATGATGTACTCGAGAAGGAACTCGGCATTATTGCCGCGGCGGTTCTCCAGTCGTTGTTGACCCGCCCGTGGGGGTGCGGACTGCTGTCGCTGCGCCGTCGAGCGCAATTCACCAGCACCCCTACCGATCCCCTCGTCGTGATCAACGGCGGAGAGCTCGGACGAGGGGTTGAGAAAGGCGAATACTTTGAGTTCGCGCCGGATCCATTTGCGCGCGCGCGAGACAAGCTCCTCTTCGCGGTTGAAGCGGTCGGGCGTGAGCTCGCGGTATTGGGAGAGACGGTTAGAGCCGACGCGCAGGGAGTAGAGTTGGTGGCGGTAGATGTGTTGGCGTCGGCGGAGGGGGTCGTCGCTCGGTTGGGCTTGGAGCGGTGGTCGATTCGTGGGGCTTCGAGCGCGGCGCGGGCGACGGGATGGATGATGGTGGATGGGTGGTGCGGGTGGATGGGATGAGGATGCATTGGTGTGCACTGGCGGGGCAGGTGGGAGGTGATAGATCTTAGTCCCTTGGGGGCTGTCGAGGTTGTATCTGACTGCGGAGACGTCGCTCTTGCCTTCAACTTGGCGTCAGCTAAAGACCCTGACCCTTTGCAGACTTGACAAAATTCGAATTCTCGGATACGTGAGAGTACATACAGAGCGGGCAGTTCCGACGCTGCTCCAGCCAGCTCACCAGACACAGAAAGTCGAAGTTCGCATGCTTGCAGGGCACCGCAATGGCGGTTTCGGAGACCGGTTCGAGGCAGATGACGCACGGATTTGCCTCATTCTCGCTTTCCTCTTGTGCTACCTCTTGGAGCGTTCGTTGCAAAATTGCCTGCCGTATGCCATCATCATCGGACATGGAAAGTTACACCCGCTCGCACATCAAAAGATTCCGTTAACGAGTGGACGATTGGGTATGATGAAAATGAAAAGAGGATGGGAATGTTTTGTTCGTTAAGTTTCCAGATGGAAGAGGACGAGGCATTGCTGACCGCCTTTGAACCAACGTCATTGCAGTCTAGTTCACCGCTTGGAAAGTCGAGGACTATGACTGGCAGATGCAACTGATCGAGTCCAGACCGCCTGCCGAAGTCATCGAAACTGCCCGCCACAATGGAGACGGAGGCGGGCCAAGCGCGCCTCTTTGCGGCGGCCTTCCGTGATATGCGGCGAAATCTCCGCGGTGAAACCTCACATTGACTCACAGTAGCTGTGGACATATGAATCTTTGCTTGCCTATGTGAACCCTCGAATGTTTGTCGCAACTCACTAATGCTGAAGGTAATGAGATCTGCAAGGTCCGTAGTCGCAGAGAACGCTTCCAAAATGAGAAACCACACTCAGAGCGCGCCCGCGCGCACCATCACCAGTCTAAGACGCTGGTCCATCACCAACAAGGAACTACCAGGTGAGCATCTCGCTTCCACTATATGATAGCGCTTCGGGTGGCTGATAATATCATCTGTTCTTGCGCTACAGCAGTACCGCAGGTCAGGTCTATTCACGTATACGACTTCGACAACACATGTAAGGATGCACTCCGTCGCCCTGCGACCTCCGTCTGATTCGCCCGCGCATTCTAATGCTTTCCAGTATTTCTAAGCCCACTTCCGAATCCGCAACTCTGGAACGGTCCGACGATCGGGTTCCTTCAGGCTTATGAGAGCTTCGCGAACGGCGGTTGGTGGCATGACCCGAACCTCCTGTCGGCTACCGGAGAAGGGATCGAGAAGGAGGAACCGCGCGCTTGGGAGGGGTGGTGGAACGAACAGATTGTGTGGCCTTCCATTACATTACAATAACCTATAAGTGAACTAACAGCAATTGGCTGATACGTTCCCCCCTAGGTGCAACTCGTGAAATTGAGCATGGAGCAGAAAGACGCCTTGACGGTGCTTCTAACGGGTCGCAGTGAAAGTGGATTCTCGGAGATCATCAAACGAATGGTGAGCAGCAAGAAGCTGGAGTTTGATTTGATATGCCTCAAGCCGGAAGTTGGCCCGAGGAATCAGCGCTTCGCGACCACGATGGAATTCAAGCAGACCTTCCTGGAAGACCTTATCCTCACTTACGAGCAGGCTGAAGATCTTCGCATCTATGAGGATCGCCCGAAGCAGTACGTTTTTTTTTTTTTCCTGTTTTCGTTCATATTGCCGGAACGTCTGACCTTTCTGCCAGTGCCAAAGGCTTCCGGGACTACTTCGAGCAGCTGAACCGCAAGTTCCAGCCTGCGCAGGGCCCCAGCCCGAGAAAGCCGATCACCTCGGAAGTAATCCAGGTCGCCGAAGGATCCATGTATCTTGACCCCGTCTGGGAAGCCGCCGAAGTGCAGCGCATGATCAACTCTCACAACCTCACCACCCGCAACCCGTCACTAAACAAGGCCAAGTCGCCGTACGGTCGACTGCGCATCAAGCGCACCATCTTCTACACGGGCTACCTGATCTCGAACGCCGACTCGAGCCGGTTGATCCGCGAAGTACTAACCCCCATGCTCCCCTACGGGCTCGCGGACTCCAACGACCTGAAGTACATGGCCAATAGCATCCTGATCACGCCCCGCCCCGCCCCGCGGTCGATCCTGGACAAGGTCGGGGGCATCGGCAAGAAGCTGAGCTGGCAGATCACGGGCACGGCCTGCTTCGAGAACCGGGTCTGGGCCGCGCGCATGGCGCCCGTCCCCGCTACCGAGAAATACTACACGGAGAACCCGCAGCCCGTCGTGGTGCTGGCGGTGCGCAAGGGCGCGCGCCCCATCGACGCCGGCAAGATCCAGAACTGGCACCCCGTCCCCGCCGACAAGGCCCTCACCGTCGAGACCGTCGTCGGCGAGAAGGTGGTCCTGCGCGTCGAGGAGGAGAACCCAAACGAGGGCGAGTGGGAGAGCCAGTTCCTCAACAAGAATAACAAAAGACGGCACCAGCAGGAACGCAACGAGGAGATCCTCTATCCGCCGCACGCGGAGCAGCAGCAGCCCGCAACGTATGATGGCGCCGCTGCTTCTGCATCCCACCACCACCACCCCCACCACCCCCACGGAAGACAGCCGCACCCGAATGCCATGCGCAACGGAGGGAATCGCCATCACCATGATGACAGTGGACCCTCGCGCCGCGGGAACGCATTCCGCGGCCGCGGCCGCGGCGGTGCGGCAGGGCGAGGCAGGGGCGGCGGCCACCATCAGAACCGCGGCGGCAACCGTGGTGGTGGTGGCGGCGGTGGTGGTCGAGGCCGTGGTGGTGGTGGCGGTGGTGGCGGTAGCGGTGGCCGTGACAATGGTCCGCCGGGGTACCGGTCCCTAGACGATTACGGCGGTGGGTTTGAAGGGAATAATTATGAGGAAAAGCCCGGACCAGGCGGTGGGCCGCCGGTGATGAACTACTAAACCAAAGGAACAATAAGCGGGGCGGCTCTATTATTTGCGTAACCCATCCGGCCCGGGTCATCGTCGTCGCGATCTGTTCGTTGCCTGTGAAACGACGAGAGGATGTTTTGTCCTCTTTAATAGTATGCAATATGCAAGCAAATTACCCAGTAGACGCTGTTGATCACAATACCATGTCATGTGACTGCCTACCTATTCCTCTATATTAGTAACCGGTTCTTGGTGCAGTTGAGATCTCACGGAGATCTAGATCTAAAGGTTCTTAATTGTAGAGGTTGCTCTACTGGACAGAGCATGAGTTGCTCGATTTCGCAGTCAATGATACAGACCTGGAAAATTGTGAGGATAATGCATGTGACGTCCCGCGACTATCCATTGGAATTCTTCACGCAGATCGACTCTCATTAGCAGCAAACACAAAGAATCCACATCAAATTCATAATCTAGAAGACAAGACAATAACAAAACTATTGACAACCCAAATCCACCCAGTGTCCCCTCCGCAGCCACAAGATAACGTGAAGCAACCTTAACAAGTGTTCTATACAAGGCCAACGACAAAGCGAACACAAGCATCGCGGCAAACAAGATCTTTCCCGCCGGAGGAAGGCTATACAGGGTAGGAGGAGAGAAAGCGGACGAAACAGAAATTTTCGAGTGGATTGATTGTTTCGAATGAGGTGAGCTAAGCTAAGCTCAAGAAGACTGAACGGCCGACTTGATCTGTTGTTGGCCGCATCTTGTTCATTAGGCATTTTTCTTCTTCGTGATGACTTCTTTAAACAAACAAAATGAAAAACCGTAACCGTAACTCGTAGTCCCTTGTCCAATTGTCCGTGTCCATAAACTCGTATAAAAAACCAGAGAGAAAAAGTCCATGTTCCAAATCTCAATATGCATCATTATTCACGTGCTGTTCGTTGTATATGCCGTCTCTGGGGGCTGGTGATCGCATGAAGACGAGGGAGTCGGATGAAGGGGGAATGCGTAGCGTTGAAAATCAGAGTGGGGAATCAAAGTGCAATGAAAAGAATTGATGAGGGTTCAAGTTGGCATGTCAACGTGACTATGCTTCGTCCGTCAATTGTTTGATGAGGCTGATGCTGAGAATCATGACGAGAAGACCTATCGTCACAACCACCATGAGACCGAATCCAAACCAGCCCAGCACCATGGCAGAAGTGCCAACACCACTCTTCACACTACCATTGCCCATGTCCTGAGCGATGGTGCTCGCGGCGACGGATGCGGTATGTTGCCAGAGAACAGAGACGAGGACGAAGACCGACGCGACGAAGATGAGGGCCAGGGCGGCTTGCGAGACAGGGCGCGAAGGAAATGGCTTGGCTTCAACTTCGGAACCACTAGCATCGAGCTCGTCGTGCCATCCGGGGAAGGTAGCCAGCAGGATAAAACAGAAGAAGGCGAGGATGACGGCGATGATGCTACCGCGAGTTAGCAAGACACACACGAGACGAAAGCCTAAGGGAGAACGTACAGTAGGTACGGAAACACAACAGCATCTTTGAACGTTGACGCAACCCAGATCAGGTTCAGAGGGTCTTGATCGACCGTGACAATCTCGGCCAAGGCGGTCGCATTGGCATTGCAGATATATGATCCCGCATCTGGCTGCACGCAAATACCGAAGTAGCCCACACGGACTTCCATTTCGGCTCCTCCTACGATGTTCGCCGTTGCTGTAACCACGCCAGGATCTACCTGCGCTAGGTTGAATGTCGGTGAGTATCGTTCGTAGTATAGTGATATCAGGAATATGCTAGGGATCTGGGGTGAGGACGACGAGCATCCTGCCAATAATAGGGCTGATCAACGTTAGTCGCATTCCAGAGCATGGGTGACCGGAGAACTACTGACATAGAAGGATGATGGCGACAGCAATGATAATCATCAGCACGTGGTGGTAACCGATCATTGGTAACAGCCCTGCAGGGTCAAGCGTCAATATTCTCATGCATATGTTCGAAGCGAGAACCGAAATACGTACGGGCTAGCCGGTCACCGATTTTAGGCATCTTGGGTTGTCCAGGTGTTGTCTCCCCGTGTCTCTGATCCAAGACTCACTTCTCGGAACCCCGAGAAGGAGTCTGCGCCGGTTGCTGCGCACCTCTTTGACACTACCACCCAACTGACAGATCAAGTATGATGAGAAGCTCTCCTCCTTTGAGAGAAGTGGAGCTGTTTGTGTTGATGTCGATACTCGTGCTCCTGGCGCTGAGGGAATACGTCAATGTCTCTGAGAGATATGCAGCGACTGTCCGGAATGTTGAGCACAGGAGTTGCAATGCGACAACGGGCCGGAACCGTTATCAAGATCGAGATCCAAAGAATGTATGACTGGCAAGTCCCACGGAAAGCCCTGAATAGTGGATAATGGTGGTTAGAATTGTACAAAGAGAGTCACCAACTGGGCTGGGTGGGCTTCGAGTGGAGGGACTGGATATCTGCCAAAAACAGGCAAGCGGAGGGCAAGGGAATGGGGAAAGGAGAGTGCAGGCAGGAGAGAGGAAGGGGGGAGAGTAAGATCTCAGCTGGAGCAGGTTTCCAAGGTTCAGTCCACCCGACAGAATTGTGCCTTGACGCGCCAGAACAGTCAATGAAGCTGGATTGGAAAGGAAAGGGTAATAATGAGGAGGCTGGGAAGATAGTGTGGAGTGAACGATGTACGGAGTAAGTTACTGTACACATACAACTAACTAATGCTCTACTTCAGCCCGAAGAAGGGCCAAAAGCGGGAGGCTGGGCCACTGCCTGCCACTTCCCGTTTGTTTACCGCGTCTGTTCCCCGGTAACCAGTCCACACCGCCCGCCGTCATTTCACTCCATTGGATCCGCCGTGGACTCCACTGATCGCGCTAAGCCCCCCGATCATCTTATCGGCACGTGCCCACTCCCCCCCAGCCTCCAACTTTTCCATGGAACTAAGCACACCAACACACCAACTTATGTCATAGTCTGGCCAGATGCTTTGCAACTAAGGGGTATACGGTCAATCCCATGTAGATCCTATTATTTATACGGCCAAGCACCTCTCGGTCATGTACTGTACTGTACTGTACTGTACTGTATGTCAAATCACCCACCCAATGCCATGATACACAAAACTAACAATACTCCCAAGAACTCCTATAATGATAATGATAAGTCGATTGTCCCCCAAGCACTCCAAGAGTTTGTCTCAACCTACAAAGGAGAATCGCTTGAGATCAATAGCGACTGGGGTCTGCAAGCCTCCATTCGCATTAGCGTCGGGTTCTTCCAGATCGTCTTCTTCATCGTCTTCACTATCCGGAATGATCATGTCTTCACTCCCATGGTAGGTCGGCATGAGATTCTGGGTGCTACCGAGACTGCTATTGTTGGGCTCAGATGGAGTAAGCGAGACTTTTGATGCCCGAAATGCGGCGAGAGAGGACGAAAGATGGTTGAGAGATCGAGACCTAGCCAGGGCACTTTGCCCCAGTCGTTGCAAGGGCGTTGTCCGTCCACGTCTAGGCGGCGTCCGTGGACTTCCGCTTCTCAGGTCCATTGGTGCTTTCGCTTTTGAGAAGGAGATAACTGGCATGGGCCGTGCATTGGGTTCTGTCCGAGTGACACTCTCCGAGCGAACGCTGCTGCCTCTCCGCTGGAATGCAAACCTCGAAAGCAGCCCTGAGTTTTGCTTCTCGATGTGATAGTCGAGAACTTTCTGGAACTCCTCCGGATTGGACTCCAGACTGACAGCCCTGGGGTTGCCCTCAATAAGTTGAATGGAATCCGACGGCACTTCTTGCTTCTGCTCCAACCCGTGATCCAGGTGATCCTCGGCATCAGCTTTCGTGGATTGCGGGGGCACATCTGATGCGTCGAGGGGTTGACTTGGCCCCGTGTCTTGGTGCTCATCGCTCTTAGCTTTCGCAGGTGTCTCGGCAGGATCCGGAATCTGAGACATCATATCCTCTACGGAATCATCCGAGAAGACGTCCAGAGAGTGTTTCCGAGCCTTCTTAGTTCGATTAATCTTGAGTCCGCTCGGGCTAGACTCATCGGTACTGTTTGTGAAGAATCGACTCCGACAAGTAGATGCGCTTGGCAACTGTCCCTCATCTATATCTGAACAGAGGCGCTGTCGCTTAGAGGGTTGCAGAGCAGACAGCCTCAAGGCGTGAGGATTAAAAGAGTCCCGCTCGACACTTCTCACCAAGGGACTGGAGAATCTGCTCGACAACGTAGCAGAGGAGGCTGACCTCATCAGGGTTGGCTGCGTGGGAACGGAAGTACTCTCCCAGGAGGTATTAGCATGACGCTCGAGGAGCCGTTGCTGGCTTGGGGACGGCGTGAGGCTATTCGGATCGAGTTCAGCTAACGGCGTACGTCTTGGAGTGAAGAATGAATTGATGGGTTTGTTGGGCTTCAATTCGGCCGCTGATCCAAGTGTTTGTCGACGTTGCAAAGTGCTTGTGAGTCGTTTCTCGGTAGACTTCGCTGCAGCTGGCGGCTTCAATACCAGAGGTTGCTTGGTCGCTGGATCCAGGTCCCCCCGAGCCACTCCCACCGCAACCTCAGGCTCCACATCACCGCCGATGAAGGTCAACTCTTCTAGATTGACATCACTTTCAGGTGTTGTGAGCGTCACCAGCTTTTCGGCCTTGGGGCAATAGACTCGCTGATAGAGGAAAGTAAGCTCCGCTTCCTTGAAACTCTTCAAGTAATCCGCAGGAACGTGATACTGGCCGTCAAACTGGAGCATCCGCACGGCTTTCTCGACATTTTTGTACCTCCGTATGCTTTGATGAGCCGTCTTCAGACCCATCCGTGGAATATTGGCTAAATAGTCGCAACCGGCGAGAATGCACATGCGTCGAAAGTCATCATCCGACCATCCTATCAGGCTGACGTCCCGGCAAGCCCCGAAGTCCGCCCGATTGATCTCGATGCAGTCACCATGTTGATCAAGCTTGGACAGCAGGCGTTTGGCGCCAAACACAAGCAAGTCGGAGTCCTCTGAGATAATGCCATGAACGATACCCTGCTGCTCCAAGTATACCAACTGTGCATCGGCCTCGTACGGAGCTACCACATACTGCACATTCATTTGCTTCAGTTCTTCAATCAACTCACGCGCCATCAGAGGAGTCACGTCGACCGCCTTCTGTAGTTCCTGGTAGGCTTCCTTCGTGCGGCCTTTTCGGAGCAATTCCATCCCAAGTGACTTGCCGTCATGTCGCCTTTTCTGGCGTCGATCTTCAGTGCCAGCTTTGCTAGGAAGATTATCTCCGTCGAATACAAGGTATGGCGTCACTCCAAAGTAGATAAGCATGCGAACCCGATTAAGAACAAAGTCAATGTGTCTTTCATGTATGTTAGCGGGAAGCAGTCAGATGGCAAGCCTACAGGTACGTACTTTCGTGTGGGCTTATCCAAGACCAAGTCCACGGAGCATGCGACCGTACCACGATGTAGCCATCCGTAGGCATCGACTCCCAAGGTCTGCCCACTATAACTTTTCAGGTGACATGGTTTCTGGATTGATTTAAGAAGAACATGAAGACCTAGAAGGAACACGAATAGTTAGAGACGACTCCCAAGCGCTTTTGCAAAGACAAGGGTCACCTTTAATTCCCATTGTCAGTACCCTATTGACGAGATGGCAGGCCGCGCTCTCTATACCGGCACCGCCAAGACAGGGATCTGCTCCGGCTGTAGGTGCTTAGGTCAAGCCAGATGATGAAGGCGAGGACCATGGGAAGACACCTAATCAAATGATGGAAGAAGACGTCCCACCCCTAAGCGACCAGCAAACGACAATGACCTAGACAACGAGGTTGGAATGCTTGATCTTCATCCCCTCCGACGCGCCAGGAACGCGATGGGGCGAGGGAAGCCATCTCATATTCTGATTGGTTTCATGTGAGCGGCTTGAGTACTCTTCCTCACCGCCATTGCATTCTGCCCGCCCAAAAAAAAAGAAATTCGCCGAGGGAAAAAAAATCGCTGATAAACTGGACGACATTGCAACAATCTAAAAGCAGACAGGAGAAACAAAACTTCACCATGCCGAAGACGCTACAGAAAGTACACAAGCACATTGCGAAGAAGAGAGGAGCGGTTGAGGCTCTTCACGAGTTCAGCAGAGATGCCAGAAGATTACGCCGCGCCACCGCTAGAGATGACCGAGTCGCTCGAGTGTCCGCCAATATGTCGCGGGGCAGACAAACCTATGGTGAGGGCCTAGCACTGTGCCACCCTTGTCTCGCTCAAAGGACTTCTCACTAATTGATTCCATGATATACAGTCGACCGCATTGCATACTTCTACGAGACCCTGCCCGAGGATGCGACGCCAATGTCGGAAGACGAGATGAAGGATATCGTGGTGAGGTATGTGCCGGCGGCGCAAGGGCCAATCATAGCTTCGTGCGCTTTGAATTCTCACGTACAAACCAGGTATATCAACCGTAGTGTGCCCGAGATCGAGCAGTTACAGAGCGAGAGACGGAAAGGCAGACCCCCAAGCAAGCGGGAAGAAGCGCTGCTGCAGCGAACCGATGTCGAGAACAAGGAGTTTAAGACGGGATTTTGGTTGCCTGACCTCAGTGAGCAGGGTGTGATCAATTCGCTTAGGGCTTGGAATGGCGATTGGTCTGGCTTGAGCACGATGAAGTTCATCCGGATCACTAAGGATGGAGGCAAGCAGCCTTCAGTATTTCCCCCCAAGGGAATGTCTTGAAAGATTTTGTTCGTCTTCTGTGTTCCGAGTTGCAAAAAGTTGGGTGCTTTGTCGGGGGAATCTCATGGGACTATGGCGTTATGATTGCATATAATTCACATGTACACACATATCATACCATATGGTTTTTCTTGAATCACCAGTAAATGAAGTACGTACGTACTGTGCTGTACTTTCATGGATGGAGCTCCAGGTCTTGGCACGGGAAGAGCTTTGGAAAGTGGAGATGCCTGAGACTCCAGGCTCCTCTTGTTCACATCATCACTTTGCCTCTTCCGCACTCTTACCATCATCCCACCCCCATTCATTTTTCCCATTTGACTTTCAGCTTCAATCCATCTACCATCCATCCACTATCTTCAAGATGATGTCTCTTCGCACTCTTACTCGCTCCGCCCCCCGCTCCATTGCGCGTTCTCTCGCAGTTTCCACCCGCGCAACTGTCTCCAGACCTGTTGCCGCTGTTTCTCAGAATGCTTTCACCTTGAAGCAGATCACCAAGCCTGCCTATGCTGCTTTTTCGACCTCCCGGGCTTTCAAGCAGGCCCCCGGCGAGGGTAAGAGAGTTTTCCCTGGATGAAGTATTGCGATTCTGCAATCTCCCATTCGAGCGCATCAATTCATTTTTTCTCTCATGTGTTTCGGGCTCATACCCATCACCTTGTATCCAAATTCCTGTCCCGTTCAAGCATTGGAAGCTTCGGTCATGGACTGCAGATGACTTTTTATGGCGCACAAAACTGACTACATGTTGTACGAGTATAATAGGTGACGTCGAGCTTGTTGCCAAGCTTGAGGATGAGCTCAAGCACGAGAAGGCCTCCGGCCTTGAGGACCTGGATGGCTCCGTTCAGAACATCCAGTATGTTCTGCAAAACAACTCTTGGGAGGTACGTTGCTGTCGGACGATCGTTGTTCTGACTGCATTAGCTCACACATCATGGTTTTTTCCAGGTCAAGGATATTCCCGGCGAGCAGGAAGTCACTTTGACCAAGAAGTTCGGCAAGGAAGAGTAAGGAAGCTTGTGCCCGCGTTTTCCTCCTTAACAATCATTCTAATCGTTTGTACTTCTCTATAGGATCCGCCTTACTTTCACCGTTGCAGACCTCGAAAACCTGAGCGAGCAGGAGGATTTCTCCGCTGATGGTCTGATGGACGCCAACGACTTCGGAAGCCACCAGCCTGCTAACCAAGGTCGCGCAGGCATCTCCCAGCTTCCCGAGGACCGTATCGCTCCCTCCGACCGCGACGAGGTCGGCATCGACGACCTTGAGCCCGGCTTCCCCGCTCGTGTCAACATCACCATTGAGAAGCCCGGCAGCGGCGCTCTCCTGATCCAGACCATGTGCACCGATGGCGTGTTCCAGGTTGAGGAGGTCTCCTACTTCAACAAGCCCGATCTGGCTCTTGCCCAGACCGCCGAGAAGGACTGGGCCAGACAGAGCCTGTACGCCGGTCCTCCTTTCGAGAACCTCGACGAGGAGCTTCAGAACTTCATTGACCGCTACCTTGACGTGAGAGGCATCAACGCCGAGCTTGCCACCATGATCCCCGACTACATCCAGGTTAAGGAGCAGAAGGAGTACGTCCGCTGGCTCGAGAGTACGTGACCCACCGATATTACTTCCCTATAAGCATTTGCTAAACCTCTGTCCAGATGTCAAGAACTTCGTTTCTGCTTAGATCAGGCGGACACGGACGTTCTTCTTCCCGGTTCCTGCACAGCATGCTATTGAATGATGCGTTTCGAGTTTCACAACTATATCATCTGTCACTCCTGTCTTCTCCAAAGCAGGCTTTATGGTCAATAATGAGGTAGTGCTGTTCGTCTGACAGTCCTACAATGTAACAACATAGAATCGAATTTCACAAAAAAAATGTAATTTTGACTGGAACCATGGCTCATGCTGGTTCGTATTGATTCTCATAACTACGTAATGAGCTCAGTCTGCAGTCAGAAATGAATAGAAGAGTAAGAACCATCACAATATTTACACAAAACACAGGGGAAAGGCCCCGTGACCCTTCTTCGAACGCCTGAAATATCCACTTTCAAAGGACATACTCCCAAATCGCTCCAAGATCATACCCAAAAATAATGCTACCCAGGCTAGGGCTTGAGAGAATTAAAACCATAAAGACCGCCATTCACCTAGGAGGCGAAACTCAGAAGCCTAGAACTCCATACTCTCAGGCTTTGTCTCCTCAACGTCCTCATTCCGTTCCCGTTTGCCACCACGCTCTTCCTTGAGAAGACCGGCGATGAAGGAGCGGAAGTAGTCGATGTATGGTTTCAGGCTCGTCTTCTCATAGTCCTGTACTCTGCGGCTTCCCCTCGCGTCCGAGTCCGCGACACTACCCTCGCCCTCGGCCGCCTCCAGTCCGGCATTGGTGCTCGGATGCTCCGCATCCCACGCATCGATCTCGGCGAGCAGCTGCGTCACCGTCGGCACCGAGAGGGGGTCGAACTGCTCTGCCTTGCGGGCGTCGATGGGGACACACACGCGGCCGGTGCCCGGGTGGATGACGAACGGGCTCTTAAGCAAGTGGATCATCTTCTTGCTGACCTCGGAATCCAGCCGGGGGTAGGTGTACTCCAGCACGATGTCCTGCTTGGCGTCGCGGAGCGTGGTCGGGTTCAGGGTGCTGCTCTTGCCCGTCTTGGCGAGGGCGTCGATGTCGGCCCACTTCTTGGCGCTGGTGCGGTCGGGCGAGGACTCCCACTTCTTGCGCAGTGACTCGTTCAGCCCTTTGTCCGGCAGGAGGGCCAGCAGGCGCTGCGCCTGCTCGGGGCCGAGGAAGGTGTCCTGGTCGACCAGCGTCGTCTGCGCGAAGTGGGATTTCAGGATGTCGAGGCTGCGCGCCATGTGCGGGTGCAGCGGTCGCTTCAGGTTCACCCGCTTGCCGCTGCTGTTGCCGCCCCGCACCACGTCCAGGTACCCGGCGATGGCCCGGCGTCGGTCGTCCGGGAGGCTGCGAGCGCGGGGGTCGCACACCCAGGCGTGCGCACCGCGGCGACCGGAGTATACCCAGAGGATGTGCTCGAAGCCGAAGTCGTCGCGGAGGGCCGTGTCGACGACCTTGATCGCCATGGTCACAAATGCCCAGCATTTGCCGCAGATGTTGGCCTTCGTACAGCAGGAGCGGATGTCATCGTAATCCGTCAGATCGATATCGAAGACGAGTTCCTTGGAGATGGGCTTCAACTGGCCGCCGCGGAGCGTCTTGCGATCTCGGGGGTTGGTGTTGTAGACAGGTCCGATCTCGAATCGAGAGGGGTTCATCCGGATGATATCTTTGCGGAAGCTTTCGATCCGTTAGAACAGAGTTCTGATATGGCACTTGTGCATCAATCCCGCGGTACTCACAGATCTGCCGTTGCATATGATTGGTAGCGGAGGTAGGCGTCGTTCTGGAGTGTGAGGGCGAATTCGCGATTGCCGAAATCGGGTGAAGGAACAATTCCGTGGTTAAGCCATTGGAACAGGTAGCGGAATGGAAAGAGGCGTTGGTAGAATGCGAGCATGGTGTCTGTGTCTACCTCTGGACCAGGAGCACGGACGGCGCTGAACGAGTAACTTCTATCAGTACCGGTATGCCTTGGTGAGTGTCGGCGCGAAACCTACTCTGTCTGCATCGTGTCCTGATTCTGAGCAGCTGGAGCGCTAGAAGCTGGGTATTCTTCATCATCGCCGTCGTCATTGAACAGGTCTTCTAATTTTACGCCTGCTGCTGCATTGTCGGGTGCATCGGTCTTATGTTCGGAGGTGCTCTCCGCTGGCGGAGCGTCTGGTAGAACCTCCTCATCTTTGCGATCGGCTGACGAGCCTTGCGAGGACACTGAGTGAGGCATCATAGGGGTGATGTTGTGGATTGTCTTGTTGTTCACTGCATCCATCTCTCAGCTACCGCAGCACAGTAAAACCATTAACGCGCTCCAAGACGCGTTCCCACGCGCCGCTTGCCCTAAGCCCTGATACGGTAGCTGAGCTGAGGGGGAGCTTATCTCCACGTGATGCATTGCTGCAAACGGTGATGAGTCAGCGAGGTACCACCGACCCACCGAGAAAGCGACCAAGTACGAAGTATACTAAGGTTCGCTCCTGCAGAGCTTCACAATCACGTTTGCCAAGTTCTGTCTGGTACCACCCCTGCAGGAACATTTGCCATCTGCTATTACCGCTTGCGGCCATGGTTCCTGTCAAGAGGCTCAACGAGCTTTGCTTCAATGACGTCTTACATTGCTCTCATAGCGACTACCTAGGTAGCCACATTATCCACTCACTCCAATGAAACATTACCGGCTTCTCATCTCAACGACTCTCCCACCAGCTTCGAAAACGGCCGCTCCACAGTACGGCGCCAGATCCTTCGAAGCTCGATGAGCCTTGAAGTCTTCTTAGATAGCCTATTCGACTGTGTTACAGCGACCTATCTCGGTTTCGATTGACATTCCTTGATGATGCCATGACCTGGATCTCGTCATAAGGCCATATGGACTACATTGTCCAAATAGGATGCTCAAACCAGCTACCTAATGTGCTTCGTGAGCGTATGCCTGTACTGCCCGTGCTATATTTGCTTTCTTGCTTTCTGTCCCTGCCCTGATCCTTGACCCGACAAACTTACCTGCAACGTTACAGGCAGGCGGACCTCGAGCGACTCCACATTCCTGCAAAGCTTTTTCGAATGTGTCAGCTACAGAGCCTTGCGAGCCAATCCATGCATTTCTACAAGCTTAACTCTGCTTTTTAGGGCTCAATACTCCATAATGGAACGCAAATTCCGGTAGCACTTCCCTTCTCAGCAGGCTTGTCTCCGCTTTGCTTGATTAGTTTGGTTTGCACTAGCATAGATCACGGCGACAGCCGGGGGGTTTCCAGCTTCCCAATTTGAAAGCCGGAGTACTCGCGCAAAGTCATGACGACAATACTGCTCTTGACTTCCTATCTAAGTACAGCCATCTAGCATCGTGTCCGAGGATCGTGGCTCACTGACGTGGGTACTGTGGGCCTCTGTCCAAGAAGATGTAGCAAGACGTTACATTCGCGCAACAGCTCGCCATACGAGAGACCCTTTGGCTTGACGCACAGCATCACATCGGTGGTCCCTTTCGCATCCATGGCTTGGCTAGCCTCAAGCTGCGTCTCGTAGCCTACCAGAGGTAGCATCAATGAGCTTTACTTTTGCTCCTGAACCTTACAACATTTGCCCCGTACTTCGCTAACCAAAGGATACTACTGTGGCATTATCACCATCGTCAGTGACGACTGTCGTGTGCATAGTCATCAGGCTCTTCGTCGAAAAGATTTAAAGGTCGAGACATTCTGCTTCATCAGATCGTTTCTTCCTTCTCTATTCCACCTTGTGCCGTACGGAAGCCACTCGCTGTTCCTTCTTCATCTCTCGTTTATATTAAAAGCTGTGTTGTTTGAGCCTTTCGCATCAAAAAAAGAAAAATTCGAACCTTCGAAATGGTCAAGGGAACTATTGCACTCCTGGCTTTGGCTGCCCCAGCCCTTGCCGGTGTCATCCAAGGGCGTGGCGGAGAGGTAAGCTTAATGCCAACGCGTACCCATTCCGATTGACATGCTAAGAAGCCTCCAGCCCGACGAGAAGAAGCCAGCCACTACCAAGAAGCTTGTTCTCACCACCGACCCTCCCCGTACCATCACCAAGACTACTACTTATGTGACCACTGAGACCCCAGGTTCGTTTTGCTCTCGTGTATTTCCTCAAGCAGGCCGTGTCTAATATAGCTTTCAGAAACCACCACTGTCGTTGTCTCTGGCAACAAGACTCTTACGGTGCCCATCACTCTCACCAACACCGTTACTGTGACCACCACATGGTGCGAGGAGGAGGGCAAGACTATTGTCCCCACCGGCAAGGAGCCAGTGCCCACTGGCGTAAAGCCCCAGCCTAAGCCCAACCCTACTGGTACTGTCATCCCTGTCAAGCC